GGGGCAAGTATAGTAGTTGGTTGGCAGCGACAAGTTGCTATCAGAAAGGGGCCCGTCTAGATAGCAACTTCGTGGGGTGAAGAGATTGGTGTTGTTTAAGGACTTACGGATCTATGCAATATTTTAGGATGACGCTTGGTGACACTCAGCCTGCCATCGCCCTAGTAAGCATGTGTTACTTAAATGGGTTCTTCTTTTGACCCTCTCGTCTGGCGGCTGCTGGCTTTCATTCTCCCCCTTCTCAGGTATATATATATGTATATACTATATCTTTCAACATACATATATACATAGCTCTCTCTTCCCGTCGACGGTTTTAACAAAGTCATTCTTGCAATTGGACGACTTACATCGATCGACATAATTCGTCTGCTGTTGAAAGGCCGCAGCAGAGACTGCGGAGATGGAGTGCCTCAAGGAGACCATCAGTTCACTCCGCGGCCAGGACGGGATGAAAAAAACACACTGCGCGAACAAGTCCGAACACGCGTATTGACACGATCTAACACGCGTATGATAAATTGCCAATACATATATATTATATATTTTGTAAGTGTATCTGTAAAGCTTTTGGGCTGCACGCGTATACGTCCAGACGGGTGCAGGCCTGCAAGGCGTAGGTTTGTTGTATATATATATATATACACGTGTGTGTATACATATATATTAACATTTGGGACACTATTGCTTGGCCGTGATTGACAAGCAAGAGTGAACAGGCCCAAGCTCTGTGTGCTACACGGGACCAGCAAAAGCCTCAAGAGTTGTGTTCGATTCTAGCACATTCAGCCCAGTGTAGAGATTGCCCCAGGCATCCCCAGGCAAATTTGGCTGGCAGTGACACAGAGGCATGACATTGCCATTGAAGCTCCGCGGTGATTGACCAAGGGCCAAGCAAATGCTCGTAAACAACAAGCTGGAATTGCAGTGCCATCCCTGGTGCTCAGCATTTGATAGCGTCAACCAACAGCCATAGAATTGTAGCCTCCAAAAATGCATTCGGAAGGCAGAAGGTTCGTAATTCTGAAGTCTGTGAAAGGGCTGGTGTCAACCTTTTTGTAAGGTCAATTCAGCAGAGAGAGGTGGAACTCCAACGTGAAGAAGGCGTGAGCTCCACCGTGTTGGAAGAATCAGCGATCCGATCTCTTTGTCATTCTTCGGAGGACACCTCCAAATCCAGCTCGAGGCCACTTTGAGAGCCAAGTGCGTCCAGTCATTCCAGTCATCCTGAACAACTGCAATGTAGTCGCATTTTTCGGATCCTTTCTTGCTTTTGGATGGCCACGTGACGCGCAACTGGGTCTTCAGGCAAGATATGAGGAAGAAGCACACCTGGTAGAAAGCTGCAGGGATTTCCGAGAGGCAAATGTGCAAGTTCTGAAAAGTTTGCAAAGTTCCTCAGCGCATCGCCAGGTTTTGCATCGCCTTGATGCGCAGGCAGAGTCTTTGGCAGCCCAGGAGGCGCATTTCCCTACTCCAAAGCCTAGGTTTGCGCTTTCCAACCCAAGAGCCTGCAGTACACCGATGTAGTAGATGTAACACACACTTGAGATATTTCGTACTGAATCGGATGCCCCATGCCGCACGGCAACCTAGATGAAAATAAGGCCTGAGTACAACGGGAAGAGTAGGTTGGAGGTCCCCGCTCTTAGGTTGGAGGCCATCGCAAACAGGTTGGTGACATGCAACTGCAAACCATTCAAGGTTAATTAGAGGCCAGGGCTAGTAGGTGAAGGCTCTTGCTCCAGGTTTGGAGGCCCACAAGACACAAGCAAATCTGCAGACCTGAAGACCTAAGCAACCTTGAACAACATCAGGTACATGAACCACCATAAAACAGACCAGGGGACCACAGCAACTAATCAACAAGTTAACTACAGCAGGTACGTTTACACCTCCCTGCCGCGCGGTCTTCGTTGGCCAGGACGCGCATGGCCCCCTGCTTATAAAAATCAACGGATTCCCTGTAATTCCAAGGGTTCCACACACACATATCAACTTATAAGGATAGATGGGCTGCAGCACCAACTTTTGCAATGCAGCCTTGGCTACCACGAGGTGTGCTGTCTCCCCGTTGTGTGTTGGAGCTTTGTGGCTCTCCAACTTCGTCACGGAGCAAGGGGTAGCAACGAGTAGCAGTAGTACACTGTAATCTTCTAAGTTCTTGTTTGGTGGCCCTGGGCCAAAAAGTTTATATGATCTTAGCCGGTTTCTTCTCGCAAGTTGTCGTGATGAGGATGTCATGAGTGACTGCAGCATCGACACAGACTCAGCCATTCCATCCAGCAGCTTGCCATTGATGTTGAGCGTTTGTTCCACACTGGCACTTTTGCGGTCTTTTGCTTGACGCTGACCATATACTCGCAAAATAGCTCGCACCCCCAGAGCAAGAGCTTTCAAGGCACGGCCTTTGACCAGGACAAGCTTCACAAGGCCACTGCACCGGCACAAATCATGGCTACAATGGTGTAGATTGCAGAGCGCTGGCTGCTGAATCAGATGCTGAAAAAGAATTCAATGCTGAAGCATTGAACATTAATCATTTAATGCTTGGATGTTATTTGGTGCTTGGGGCAAGTCAACTGGAGCCAGGCTTGGCATTTGGAAGGGGAGCTGCTCACTGCCAAAGAGCAAGCAAGGGAGCTGCGCCAAAGATTGGCAAAGGCCTTCGGCTCAAAGTTGCCAAAGTTTTGACCTGGTGCAGCGATGGCTCGCGGTGTTAGCCGAGGTCCAGTCTGAAGACTTCTCCACACAAAAGCAGTTGGGGTTGGAAGCTAAGCTGGTGCGACATCGGCGAGTGTACAATACTGAACTGGCCATGCCGCGGCCTTTGGACAACGGAATCGTAATTGATTGAAAGGACAGAGAGTGAGAGAGGGGTGGTCTTTCAACGTGTGCCAGCGAGTGCAACGGCCAAGGGGCCAAAAGGGCCAAGCCGTAGAAGGTGGTCCAGCTTCGTTACAGGCAGTCGTGGTCCGATTTGAGAAGTTAAGTGCTAATGAATGTGTTGACAGCATTTCAGATGTGCTTGAGGCCATTTGTCCTGAATTTCATAGACAGAATGAATTAAGATTCACATATTTGGGCCTGGGTCAGGGCCAGATGGTCGGTCATATTCAGCATCACAGAAAGAGACCGTCTTTCAACGTTTCGCATCACGTACTTGCTTTACCGAACACTCTGGTGAAGCGAGAGGCCTTGGACGCTGGAGCTTGTGAAGCCGGACGGGATGTTTTGGTCCTTCAAGATGCTCCTACTAGAGCCTCAGGCGGCAGGCGCGTTTTTGCGTGACTGATTTGCTGGTTTAACTGTGCCTTCATGTATTCTCCTTCAGAATTGACGGAGGCCAAGGAAACTTGACTCAGTTTCGATCATTTTAATTTTGGCATGGTGCCATAAGGCCATAAGGCCGATAGGCTTATGACACTTGCCAGCTCAGAGAAGCAATGGAGGCAACCGCTGGGAGCCAAGAGAGGCTTCTTCGCCTCCAAGCTCAACGACACAAGTGAGGCACTTGGCATGCAGTTCATTGTGCAGTTACGCAGTTGCCAGTTGCAGCTGAGGTGAGTTAGATGCAGCTCGGCGCCGTTGAAATGCAGCTTTATTTTGGGTCTGTTCTTTGCCGCTTTTTTCTTCGAGGCTCGGTGTGTGGCCGAGGAAAACGTCACATTGCAAAGCGAGGTGGAGGACAGACCCCAAATAGAGTTCGATGCTTGCGGGTTCGCATGTTGCGAGCCGATGAATGCCTGCACATATGCTCACTGCTGGAACATGTCTGCTGATGAGGAGGCGCGCCATCAACTTGAAATGGCACAAACTCGTTGGCAACATGGCACGCAGCTGTGTGTTGAGAATGCCTTCCTGAGTTGAAGATTTGCTGGAACTTTGACACTTGTCACTGGAAATTCCAGCCTGTGCGTTTGTACAGTAGTTGGTACACTTACAGTATTCCAACACCTAGAGCTGGCTCGCGAGACTGACCTGTTTCCTAAGCTATGAAAGGTGCTGCTCCTCATTTGCAGGCGCCAGAGCTCGGGTGTGCTTGTTCAAAGATGGGAGAGCCTTGTTCTGATGGAGCGAGGTCATTGACCAACGGTGTGTCAATCTAATCGCCACTAAACCGGAGGCGGCTCTTCATGAGTCCAGGGCCAAACTTCGCAGCTCCTTGCAGCTTTGATGCACGCAGCACGCAGTCTGATCACATTTTGTAGATTTCCTTTGGGGCAGGCAGCAGCAGCTGCAGGCGTCGCAGGAGATGCTACAGTGGCTTGGCTTGGCTGACCGCAAAAAGGTATGCAGATTGGTGTTTAACGCATCGTTGCCTTTGAGGTCGTTACGGGCTGGCATCATCCAGGCCATTCCCATGTTCAAGGCTTTGTAAATACAACCCTTTGCCGACCATCAGGCTGAAGAACAGCTGGAGGCAGAACATCAAACACGTCAAGCACTTAGAATTTATAATTTTCAATTTTCTGTCTACATCATACATCGAATACTGAGGTTGTCGATATGAAAGACAAATTCATTCAATAAACGAAAAAGCGCCTATAAGAATATGACAAAGAAACACCATTTAACACACCCACACACACACACACTTATAGAAATGCGTACTGATGTGAATGCGGTGCCACACGCCAGCCTAAGTAAAAAACCTAAGGGTTCAGGTAAACGAAACACCAAATGATTGCCCTCACCTCCAAGCTCAAAATGCGTGACTGCCAATCTTGTTCTAGTTACAAAGGGGCCCAAAGGGAAATGAGTGGTGATCATCTTCTCGCAGGTACGTGCAATCTGCGTCCAGATTGCATATCACAGCAAACTTGAAGTGTCTTCGTTGAGCGGTGACTTCAAGAATGCCCATCGCTCCCCTGCTTACGATCAAAAACAATCCTACAGGATCCCTGTGACTCCAAGGGGCACACACACACACTTAGAGTCATAGTTCCGGTGAAGGAACATCAATTTCAGTGTGGATCAGTGGTGAATACGACGTAGCGCTTGACTCGATGGAGCCGCAAGGTGAAAGGTCAGCAAGCAGGTATGGCTTGAACAAGTGTCATTCGGCTGGGAGCCATCAGCGCAACAAAGCCGGTGAAATAACCTGGTGAACCTGGGAAACAGCCTGCGAAAGGGTGGACCAGTGGTGTCAATGTGTTTCAAGCAGGTACGCGGAGGTGATCAATCTCCGCTTCCCCATCGTGGAACAGCTTCGTTGGCGCAGGTATCCACGATGGGCCTGTGCCCCCCACAAACAAAGAGGAAAGGTTGGTGAAGAGTGGGAACCCTGCGAACGGGGTGTGGCACACACACACACAGCGGCAATGTGGCGCCCGCTAGATGCACACCTTTTTGTCTTCAATAATCGCCAGCACGCTGTGGCTGGATGTCCTTTCGCAATGCTGTATAGCTCTATCAGGTGGCGAAGGGCTGCGTCGGCTGTGGGATGTGGGTGAGTGTATTTGCTAATGATGTGGGTCCGGGAACCCAAGCCAGACAGGCATAGGCGTTGGCTGCCAGCCGAAGTGGCGTCCCGAATTTTCCATGTTGGGGAAGGCTGGATGCATATAGGTGATGGATCTGGAAGAAAGATCGATGTTGAATCCCAACAGATGGAGGTCCTCCACGGGTTCAAGCCCCACGGGGTCGCCAAAGAAGCCGGAGTGGATCAGGGTTTGGATGGCCGGGTGATGTAGGAAATGTTCGTTGTGTGACATTTTTCCACGTACCGGTAGCACTTGAAATGGAGATGTGTGTGGTTGAGCAGGTTGTTGTGTAGCTCGTGCCAAGCATGTTCAATTAGAGTGATTAGGGCGGGGGGCAGCTGGGATCCAATCCCGGCGAATCTGTTTGTTGGTATGGTTGCAGGCCCGGAAAATACATGTGTCCAGAGCAAAAGACACAATGGGGGTAAGGTCGTCAATGATGTCCCTCGAATAATGTATACTAAAATCCTTGACCCCAACCCCGGGATTTATAAACATGTTTTTCCCGAAAATCACGTACGTCCAGGACTTCAGAAATCACCAAAAAAAGATTAGGCTTTGAAAATTGATCGTTGGTCCAGAAATTCAGAAAAGCATGTTAAGTCACGGTACTACTGAACTTAAGGGACATATGGTAGGTTAGACACAGGATTTTATAAACACATGTTTATCTTTAACATGGAGGTCCTTGTGGGTCAAGATCAGGATTTTAGTTTTCTTTGCCTCTATCCAATAGACATCGATATAGAGTTGGGGTACATGTCGTGCTCTTCTGCATATACTGCATTTCTCTTCCGTCGATCGGGTTTTTCCGTCGATCGGGTTCATGTCTGATGTCGTGGACAGTCGGAAATGATTCAGGGGGGCGCAGTAGAATCAGCAGACCAGAATCAGCATATCAGAATCAGCAGTTCCTGAATGGAACTTACACTGACGCCAGACGTGACTGATTAGCACACAAAACGTGCCAAGATCTTCAATGACTTGCGGACAGCGCAGCCAGAAGCCTCCAACGTTCGATAGGAAGTTTCGAAGGAAAAAAATAGAGTATTCGATGTTTGTTCAGTAGAGACACCAGGGTCAATGCCAGGATTTAAATAAGACTTGTAACGATACTTTGAGAAGGCCGAGCGGCCTTGGGAGAAGGATTTTAATAAATGGTCGGTCAAGGACTTTATAAACCCGAAATCTTGCTTCAAAAAAATGATGTCCAACCTCAGCACACAAAAAAATAAGGAAGTCACCTCAGTCCGAAAGGATTCTATAAAATAAAATCCTGGGTTCAACCTTTAAGCATTATTCAAGGAATATTCAATGTGAAGTGTGCGTTGTGTGGGATGTTGTCGATGGTGGCAACCAATGTGGGAGTGTTGGAGGGGATTGCCGGTGGCCTTGAGGTCAGCCGTGATGGTGGTGGTGCGGTGTTGGTCTTGCCAGGTGGTGACGAGACTATGGACGGCGTCGATGAGATGAGGCGGTGTTGTGGGACCGAGTTGAAGAAACCGACTAAATCGTCGTTGGTGGCGTGAAGGGTGATGTCAGGAGTCAGGAAGAATGGAAGCGAAGTATTGGTGGAAGTGGTGCCACAGTCGAAAAGATGTTGGAGCATGGTGTCAGGCGCGACTGGTCACGCGGAAAAGTGTGCCTGCGAGGGAGTGGAAATAAGAGATGATTGCATGGCCTTTGGATGGACAATGCCATATGGGATGGCGAAGGCTTTCCGAAATGCACAGCGCGCGCGGAGGGTGGCGGGTATGGTGGCCTGAAGGTGTTTTTGCAGGTTGGTGCAGGTGAGGTGTGGCATGGGTTGGACCAACTCAGGTGATTGCCATGTGGCAAGCGCCCCGTGTTCGAGATGCGAGATCCGACATTCGAGATCCAAGATTCGAGATGCGAGATCCGAGATTCGCGATCCGAGATTCGAGATGCGAGATTTGAGATTCGAGATCCGAGGTTCCAGATCCGAGATTCGAAATCACGAAAGCTAGCGAAGCTAGCTGGAGTTACTCTTGCGATAGCAAGGTTTCTTTCGACC